ATATCCACCACCACCTCGTTTGCCGCCACCATAACCACCGCCACCTCCATATCCACCGCGTTTGCCACCGCCATAACCGCCTCCATAGCCACTCAAACCTCCACTCTTTCCGCCGTAACCGCCACCATATCCTCCACCACCGTATCCGCCGCCGCCTCCATAACCGCCTTTACTTATACCTCCGCCGCCATAGCCTCCTCGGCTACCGCCGCCGTAGCCTCCTTTGCCTCCACCACCATATCCACCTCCATATCCTCCACCACCGTATCCGCCACCTCCATAACCGCCTTTACTTATGCCTCCGCCGCCATAACCTCCTCGGCTGCCACCACCGTATCCACCTTTACCTCCACCACCACCATAGCCACCGCCACCGCCACCGCCGTAGCCTTTGTTCAGAAATATAATAATATATTAGAAATTATATTTTAAAACAATTTCAATATTCTCCACCTCCGCCCCCACACTGGACGGTCACTACCAAAATGACCACTAATGCCGTTACCGTCACAAACTTATTCATAACTACAAGAAACTATGTGTTTTATAAACAGACAAATGATTGTCTCATTTGTGCTGAAGACAAATGAATGAGTAGTTCCTGAGAGAGAAAGCTCTTTAAATAGTCGCCGAGAGATTTGCTCACAAGAAAAAAATAACAATTTGTTTTTATTATTATTTTCTTTATATATATATTTAAGAACTTTGTTTTTTCTCCAAAAATAATTTATTTCGTTATAATTTTCAAGGCTTTTATTAATGCGATCTTTTAATAACAATATAATGGTTATTATGATTCACTAAATTGTTTGTTATATATATATTTAAGAACTTTGTTTTTTCTCCAAAAATAATTTATTTCGTTATAATTTTCAAGGCTTTTATTAATGCGATCTTTTAATAACAATATAATGGTTATTATGATTCACTAAATTGTTTGCCGAGAGAGAGAGAGAGAGAGAGAGAGATGATAGGAAGAGAAGGTGTACTTGAATTGAGAAGATTTTCCGCATAAAAAGCACTCGTTTTCCAATTACTATAGTCTCTGAGCATATCATTGATGAGAAGCTAGGGATTAGACTTGATATTTAAATAATAATAACAAATTAATTGTAAAAAACACATTAACTAACGCTTGTGCCGACACTTCTCAAAACAAACCGTTTCATTGAGATTTTCACTCTTGCGGTAATCAATTGAATAATTAATTTGTGTGTTTTCATAGTTAAGACAAAGTCTGTTAGCTTTTGGCAATGAATTGCACTCTTTTTGTTGTTTTTGTTTCTTCGGCGAAAATTTTGTGAACAATTTTCTAATTCAATGCAAATTTGCATTTATTGTGCGCTTCTTAACATTGACACCATTCCAGACTCTCTCTCTCTCTCTCTCTCTCTCTCTCTCTCTCTCTCAGGTCGAGAGTGCAGTAACTCATACTAACTATACATTTAAAACATGATTTTATTTTAATTTAATGATTTGGAGAAAATTTAGCAAAACCAGCAAAATGCATAAACAAAAAATCCAAAACTTTATTGTAGATTTTAATGCTTTGTACATGTTTTATGAGTCAATCAGTGTTTTATTTTTAATGAAAGTGAATTATGCTTTGATTTCTACGCTATAAAATGCAGACATTGAGCCAATTTGTTTCAAAAATACTCCTATAATTATTTAATCGCTAAATACTGTTATTGATAACAAATGAAATAACTATTGTAGATATAATCCTAGTAAATATATTAAATATAAGTATATTTAGCAATAATAAGAGTTTACTCCTTAAAAATGAGACCAATTCATGAATAAATTGATAAAACAACGAATGAGGTATTAAATTAAGCTTGAAACCTTAAACAAAAACATACATTTGAAAAACATACTTTAGCTGTATACAATTAATATTTTGATATTAGTAGATCTCCATTAAAACTACAATTGATCTTATATTTAAAGCTAAAATTAATATGAATTAAGGTTTAAAGTTTGATTATTAACAATATTTGAAATCACTTTATTGTAAAAAACCGCTATGAATATCAAAATAAAATGATTAACATAATTTGAATACTCTTATAGTAATACTTATATAAATTTTCATAATTTAAATCGTGAACAATATTGCTAGATAAGTTATTACAAATCTGTTAAAATCATACGATAGATTTATTGAAAGTTGCTAATACTAAATCTTATTAAAAGATCATAAATTAACTTTTATTGCAAAAAATAATTTTTATTAATTGTCAATAAAATACATTTGTCTGGGTTGCATTTATTTTTATTAAATTAAAAATATCCTTAAAGATTGTAATCAATCATTACAGCACTTTTGAATGAAAGATTAAACCAAAAGATTCTTACATAAGATTAGCAACAATCCAATAACACTAATAACAATATGAATGACAAAAAACATGAAGAATTTTAAACTAATAAGAATAAAAGTTTTATATATTATATTAAATATTTTATATTTGTCGGACAAGACTTGAATCGTTTTATATATCACGTCTCTATCATAAATGATTTTATATCCAGATCCTTGAAATATTTTAATTTCTATCCAAAATTACTTTAAACGCTATTTAGGGAATAGTATGCAAACACTTTTCAATTATATTGTAATTACTAAACTATTGCATGGGCTAATCGATAAAAATAGACAATATATTTATGACTAAAATTAGCAATTTTTTATATTTATAGATATTCAATTTGCAAACCACACAAAACATAGTGTTTATATTATATGGTCTATTCAATGATTTTGACTTTATTGTAGAAAACACTTTATAAATTTATGAAATACATAAGACCTTAAGAAAAGCCTATTGAAACCATCACTTAATACAAACTGTATAATTTAAAGTCATCAATAACTAATAAATTCGATTGTAGGTGAAAAAAATTATTATTGAATTATCATTTCTATTAAACCTTACAATAAAAGTCTGAAAAGTGTGGCATTTGTTTGAAGAGTCTGTGGAGAAGTGGCTCTCCTGTGAGGCAAACCTTGAGGTTTGTGTTAAATTCATTTTAATTGTATTATAAGATTTACAACAAAAGCATAGAAAAAACACATTTCTACTATTCATTTAACTAATTATGAGTTCGCCTTCACGTAAGAGTGGTTGGGCCGCCCCTTAAATCGCAGGTAATTCAGCATTAAAGGCACTACACCTTCAACTTGTGGTCAACTACTATAGCCGTTTCATAACATTGAACACCAATATTGAAATTTTGTTTATTTGCCTTTATTTTTGCACATTTTGATATAAACACTTGAATTTTTATTACTACTATTATAATATTAATAAGTTAACAAATGAATTGTTTTTCTAAATAATGTTTACTTCAAAAAGCAGTTTAATGTCATAAAAACAAATTTTAATTAAAGAGATTACATGATAAGCTTTTCACGTTTTATATCTTTAAGCTAAAAACATAATGCTTTTTGAATAATTAATCATTAAATCATTATTTTTTAAATAAAGTATCAATAAAACTATTCAACAATTTGATAATAAATATGTTATTCAATTGTTTGTTAGAATATAATATTTTTGCTACATAAAACATTGCACAAACATAATAATTAAGGTAAATAAATATGTTTAAAATAAAATGCCATTGATTTGTGTGTTATAAATTAAATTACAACATATAATTGCCTAAAATAACAAATATTGTTTTATAGTGTGTCAAAGTTAAATTATTTTTAATTTTTCAATCAATTTTAATGCGCTAAATAAAAGCAAGTTCACTTTCACTTTCCTAATTTTATGAAATAATGTATAAATAAAAATTTGACATAACCTAGTTCCTAATAAAAAGTTATATCTTAATTCAAGTCTCATCCCTAAGAAATATTTCCGGCGCTCTATTCATCATAATTTGTTTCGTGAAACTCGTTGTATTAGTTTGCAATCCATTATCGAGATTTGCCATCAATTGTCTCATATGTTTGTCGGCGCTGTCGGTCGCCAGCGATGGCCGAGCCATGTCTAACTGGTACTGAAGGACCGCCACATCCAGCGGAACCACTCGATTGGTACTCTTCTTGGAAACAAACAGTTTTGGCAATAAATGTGCAAATGTTTTGCGAAATGTGACGATTGGGTTGATGGCTGAGTTGGCCGACGCGAACAACTAGTCATACATTTCTCATTAATTATGCATAATTAACATGATGTCAGTTCTGGTATTACCTGCGCTATGAAACAGCCGTCCAAGTACCAACTGGGTAATTCCTGTCAAATAAACTCATTTATAGCATAGTTATATAATTCATACAAATATACTACACATACAGCTGTGGG